ACAATCTCAAGCATTTTTCCTTAACTGAATCTAGTTCATAACAGATGTAACACACTCTCTCTAAGTTTTCTTACTTCTATTCTTTTCTCCTGAAGCTGCTACTTTTCAACATGGTGATACAAATCATCAAATCATCTGCCTCCTCATTTCTCAACATACCCAGAACACCTTAATCTTCTCTGAAAGCCTTATTCAACACCCTCACTATTCCAAACTATTGTCTATGATCATGGCTTCTTTTCTTTTCTTGTTAGAGTCATACCATGCATCAATCTGATTATCATCTCTCTCAGCACTACACCTTGGATTATAGAATTTTTCATCTTTAATGAAATTTAAAATACAAGTAATATCATAAACTTATCTTATAAATTGCTACAAGCATGATATATTGTATGATATATTGCAGTGATTTAACAAAATTTATCAAAAGTTTATCGAAGCTATAAAGCTTTTCTTAATCAATGATAAAATCAAGGGTTGAAGAAATAGTTCAGGCACAATTTAAAAATAAATAGTTACAATCATAAACCTCAAAAATAATACTTTATTTAGTGATTTTTAATTAATAAAATAAAAGAACATAACAGTTAAAACTTTTGTACAATTTATTATTTGTAGAATTTTGTTTTGCCCAGACAATTTTAATCCTATTATGAATTTTGAATGAATTTATTGAATTGTACTGTAAAAACAAAAATAATTTTTAACTGTTTTCTGTTAATCTTTATTGATTTATTGTATATAAAGCTGTTCCAATTAAAAGAAGCAAGTTGTTTTAATTAAAAGAAGCCATTCCAATTAAGGAACATTAGAATTTAGGAAACCGATTGCCTTGATTAGAAAAAATGGTGCTTTGACAAAATTTATTTCATTTCTGAATTTATTTCAAATAAAAGTGCAATCAATTGTCTGTTTGAATTGATCAAAAATGCTTCATAGTTAAACCTTAAAAAATATTCTTTAGGTGCTCCTATTAATGCAGCTCTCCCTAACTAAAGTTTTTACAAATATGCCAGCTTAAAAATAAATATGAAACATATATGTTTATATACATATATATGCATGATTCATGCCAGTATTTATTAAATAGTAGATATATGCATAAATTAATATGGTCATGATAAAATGTTATCGTACTAATTAACTGTTATCAAAATAACTTTTAGTGATCTTTGCCCTTGACCTTGCTATCTATGATCTTGTAAACAAGTCTGGTACATATTTTTAAAACCTTATTTACATAAGAAGATATAGATTGTCCTAGGTACCAAATGAACTTATATGGCATGACATTAAAAATGCCTTTTTCAAATAAAAAACTTTGAAAAGTTTAAAAGATAAAAGTGTAAACACAAACAATAAAGAATTTATTCACAAAATTAAATGATTTACCCAAACAAAAAATGTACCAGCTCCAGCACTGATGTCAGTTATTGATATAAGGTCATGCTTAGAGATGTACTTCTTATGTGCCAAATTAGCCAAATCCATGTTTACCTTGGAGGCTTCTAAAGTAGTAACCATTCTTTTTAGACTTTCCTTTCCTGTTCTACCAAGAAGACCTTGAATGAACTTCCAAGACTAAAATTTATTTAATCTAAATTTTATACTTTTTCTCACAAATAATTCTTTAATATTATTCAATATTTTTATTATAAACAATAATTCAATAAATATTTATATTAAATTTTTAAAGAAAAAATATTTCGAAAATTCTTTAAAAAATTCAAATAAAAATGTCACTTTACTCTTAAAACTGGAGAATTTAGGGGAAAGGTAAAGTAGTTAAATAATAACAACAATTTATTAAAATAATAACAACAATTTATTAAAATAATAACAACAATTTATTAAAATATTAAAAAAATCAAGAGCAGTTAATTAAAAATAAAAACAAAAACAAATATTATTAGAAACTAAACTTACAAAAAAAAAATTTAATTAAATATATAAAAAAAACTATTAAATTTGAATTTTTTATGGTCATTATTTTTTTGTGCAAGAAAACTCTTCATCAATTTTTTATTTTTTGAAACAATTGGCAAACCCAAGACAAGGACCTAGAAGCTTCAAATTGGCACCACATATTGTTTTGAGTTGAAAATGTCTCTTTCAAAATCTGCAACAATTTTTACATCTCTTAATGGATCTGTCTTGTCTCCGCTTTTTTTAAATGATGCATTTACTGAGTTCATCTGAAGTCAATCATGTACTTCTTTCAATCTCATTATCTTGCATTAGATTTTTGCACACCTCAGGGATTGGGATCTTAATCCTGGGATTGACCACTTAATCCCAGAACTTGACTTATTAACCCTAAATAGAAATTAAAAAAAAAAACGTATTTGGTTGAATATTATAAAATTTTGACTATTTTCATCTAGTAAATTCTTTTGGTTGAGATTTGACTATTTTCATGAAGTAAATTCTTGCAATTTATTTTGCAATACAAGAGTATAAAGGAAAATTACTTCCTGCTACACTTGCATAATTAACAGCCCTTGATAGAATTTTTTTAAACATTATATGCCATTCCTGTGATATACATGCAGGTCTTATAATAGCAAGATTCAAAAATTTACCAACAGCCGACACTGCATAAAATGATAGTAGATTTAAGCAATATATATAAATAATGTCTTGAAAAGTACTGAAATAACTGTCAAAAAAACCCTCTGACTTCGGTGTAGGAGAAAAATTTTCTTTATCATTTAATGATACGATGTAACTGTTGCCACATAAATATTAATTTACAAAATTGAGTTTAGACTTAATTCATTCAAAAGGATCAACACCTGCAGATAAGTGTACTGAGTTAGCAGAACAAAAATTTGCATAACTTGGACTTGATTTGCAAAAAGATAGTCGGTATTATGGCTGATGGAGCAAGTGTAATCAGGTGAAGAGACAAAAATATTCAAAAATTGCAAGAGATTTACAGACAACCCCATATTTGAATGACCTTGTATTGTTATGAATAAAGTTAAGTAAAAATAAATGTCAAAAACCGCCTGACATAATTTATGGACGACCCATTATGCTCTTTAACTATCTATCTCTTCAACTATATGCTTTTATGCTCTTTATCTACCTTTTCTGTTTCAACCTAATTAGAAATTGTTTGCAGCCTTGTTAGGTGTAATTTTTTTTTTTTGTTAATTCTCAACCTAATTAGTGGTTGCTTGCAGCCTCATTGGACATAAATTTGTTTAAAAACTTTAATTTAACTTTTCTTTTAAAACACTGCCAGTTTCCTATCTAATTTGCATATTCAATTTATATTCAATCATTGAAAAGTCAAGGTTAAATATTTGATTAGGATTAACTTAGGACAAACTTTTGATAGGATAAATTAATGTATTAATTAATCCTATCAAAGTTTTTAGCTAATTAATATAATATATTAAAAACTGCATTTCTCTTGTTGCTAACTATGTTGCATGTTCAAAAACAAGAGCATTTACTTTCAATATGAATTAACATCCAGTAAGAAGTATGGCATGTAAAAAACTTTTTTTCGATATAAAAAAACATCCAATACAAAGTATGACAGGTAAAAAATTCATTTTCAACATTAATAAACATCCATTATGAAGTATTACAGGTAAAAAATGTTAAATAAAAAAAGTTTTCTAAAGATTCTAATTTATATTCCTTAAAGGGATTCCCAACTACCGAGACAAGTTGTGTTCATATTAAAGAAAATGTTTAAAAAAAACATCTGGGCTAAATTTTTTTGATTAAAATTATATAATGAATGCACACTATTAAATTTTAAATTCACGTCTTAGTTGAAGCTCGCTGTCTCCATTTTTTTTGGTTCTTGGAGTCTGTGTAATGTTAGCTGCAATCTGCAGACTTGATAATTTATTCTATGCGTGTTTAATTCACAACAGTTTCGGTATATGACGTCAGCGTATAAATTTTTTTTTTTAAGATGTGGTATTATTTTTTTGCCAAAATCAACAAATCTGTTAACTATATAACTTTTTACTAAATCCCAAAAAAATTTATGATGCAATTAAAAATTAAATTTATAAAATTTACAAAAATAAAAATTTAATATATAACGAATATTTACAGTAAACGTAGCGGTTTAAACTAAATATAAGCTAGATACTATAAGAATAATTTTACAAAAGCGTATAAACCAATTTAAAGTATAAACTAAAAAAAAAAACGAGTGACTTGAATAAAACATAAACTAAACTAAGTAAAAAATAAATATTAAACGACTTATTTTACTAATATCTGTTCAAATTAAACTAAATTAAAGTTAAAACAAGTATTTGTACTAAATATACAAGAAAGTGTATAAAATATAAATATAAAAACAAAGAATCGCATTAAATTGTTCGCTATCTGCTGAACAAAAATCCTTTTGTAGCAACCGTACATTTTTTTGAATAACATTTGAATAGCATAACATTGACAATTAATTAAAATTCAATAATAATAAAGTTTTTGACACGCATCATTAAACAATAATAAATGCAAAGTGCTTAAAACTATTGTTTTTATAAGTAGTAAATAAAACATTAAGTCCAAATCAAACCTCATTTAATGAATAAAAATAATATTTTTTCTTCAAAATACTTTGGTAATTACTAAATACTTAACACTTCTACAAGTTAAGTTTTACAGTGTTAACGCTGTTTTATTTTTTAACAAAATTTAAAGTTTTTTTTATGAAGATTTTATGAAGATTAAAGATTTTTTAACTTTGCAATAACTTTTTTATAATTACACAATATAGCTCTTATTTTTTCTTGATTGTGTAGAGAATTAATTAAACCTTCAAAACAAACAAATTCTATGTGTCTAGAATGGAAATTTATGTACAAAACAAGATAAATTTTAAAGCATACTGGAAAGCGGCTACTAGTGGCTTGCGGTAATGAAAGAGTTAAACCATAACTAAATGTAAATTATATATAAAACAAACATCTATATTAAACCATATGAACTAAATATAAAACGAAAAACCGCATCATACTGCTTTTATTTTTTCTCTGCCTGCGAACTCTAATAATTACAAAATATGTATAACTGTGTCATGATTTTGGCTGGCTTCTACAACAAAGTAATGAAAAAAAATTTATAAATAAAAAATATATTTTATACAAATATTTGATTTTCTGAATCTTGAAAAGATATTGCGATGACATTGTATACCGAAACTGTTATAAATTAAACACCCATTGAATAAATTATCAAGTCTGCAGATTGCAGCTAACATTATACAGACCCCAAGAACCAAGAAAAATGGAGATGGCAAGCTTAGAATAAAACGATAATTTTAATTTTGTATTGCATTCATTATTTAGTTTCAATCAAAAAAATCAGCCCAAATGTTTTTTTTAAACATTTTCTTTAATATGAACACAACTTGTCTCGGCAGTTGGGGATTCCTTTAAACATTTTGGTTTAAAAACTTATAGTTTGTAGATTGAAATATATTGTATTTATATTATAATTTTAGCTATTGTTTGTACTTTGAAAACTACTTTACTAATGTTATTTGCATAGAGTCTAGGTCTTAGTCCTAGCCAGCCAAGCAGTGCTACTAAATTGTAGCATTACTATTATAGAGCTAGATTGTGATAATAGCTATATTATGATACTAGCTAGATGCAGATCTATTTTTATTAACTGGCAATATAATAATGTCTTACAAAAATGTCAAATTTAAGTTAACATTATAAATGAAAACATTATACATATAGTAGTACTTATGTCAAGTTAACATTATACATATAGTAGTACTTATGTCAAAATTGATTTTTCAATGGCTGGGTGAACTTTTTTGAAAAGATATGCAAATTATAGTTCATTTTATGCTTTTTAGGTAAAAGTTCATCAAACTACAGTACAGGAGCATGGGGTTGATATATGTAATATGTTTACAATGGTATTAGTAAACTATGTTTACAATGCATTTTTGCACCTTGTCTAAAAAAGAAATGGCATTATTGGAAGATCCGCCCCAGATATGGCAACAGTATTTCATACAAGGACAGATTTGAGATTTACAGAGATAAAAAATAGAATTCTAAGTAAGAAAGTGGTGAGCACAATATAGAGTAAAAATAATTGTACACTTGAAAAAAAATCATAATTTTAAGGATTGCATCAAAAAAAATTAGTTTTCCGTTAAAATATTTAAAAAAATTTTATTTGTGTATTGGTGAGTTAATTGCTTTTAATACCTATTGAATTTTACACAATTGATCACCATCATTAGATAATGATGCATAAAATTGACAGCAAAAAAAAAATTTTACAGTTCAAAAATAATGTTGAATTGATCAAACTACATGGAAATTAGTATCAAGTAGGGCCTTGATGGTCTCAGCTAGACAATTTGGCATTGAGTTGACCAAATTTTGAGTCTCTTCTGTTGTTATATTAACCCATGTGCTCATTAAAGCTTCTTTTAAGTCGACTTTTTGTCTAAATGCTCGGTCACCAATTTTTCTGTCCAAAAATATACCACAAATTTTCTATAGGATTCAAGTCCGGACTTTGATATGGCCATTTCAAAACATTGATGTAATTTGTGTCAAAGGATACCTTCATTTTCTTAGCGGCATGTTTTGGATCATTATCCTGCTGCAGTATAAAATCATTTCCCATTCTCAATTTTATAGTAGATGGTTGCAAGTTGGCTTTAAGAATTTCAAAATACATTGAAGCATCCATTTTTCATCAATAAATGTCCATTTCCCCACTTCTTTCCAATTCATACTACCCCAAACCATCACATTTCCTCCTCCATGCTTTACACTACCTGGCAAACAACTTAATTTATAAGCTTCTTTTTTTTTCACCACACTTTTTAAACTCCATCCGGTGAGATAAGGTTGTATTTGGACTTATCTGACCACAAAATTTTTTTCCAATAAGATATCGGCATTTTTTCGTACTTCTTTGCAAATTCTAATTGATGTTTCCTTTGTTTTGAAGTTATAAAAGGTTTTTTTCGAACTACTCCATATCCTTGTTCTCAAATACGATTTCTAATTGTTTGAGGGGTTACTGTGATATTGCGATCTTCTTGAACTTTTAAAGCTAATTTAGTTGCCGAAACAAATCTATTTTTCTTTACATTAATGATGATATTGCGATCAAATGCACTTGTGGTCTTGCGTTTTCGTCCTCTGCCATCCACACTAGCAATGGTTCCAATCAGATTATGCTTCTTAACAATCGAGGACGCTGTCGTAAAAGGAATTCCTGTTTCTTTTTGGATCTGACAGTAGGATTTTCCTTGATTTTTTAAATCAACTACGAGGCTTCATTGATGGAAAGAAAATGTTGTTTTCTTGACGCAATTTTGCTGAAACACTGTGCTTTATTTTTAAAACAAGTGTATTTAAAAAATTACTATTTTTAATTTTACTAAGAGAAAAGTAACTAAATCTAAAAATAACAATAAAACATATTTTGAAAGTGTCAAAATTTATTTATTATAAATTAGAACAGAAGAAAATTGTACGGGCGTTTAAATGTATTAATTTTAAAAATTAAAATTTAATTCAAAAGAATGTAAAATAAAAACATTAAATGTAAAACATAGTTTCAAATGAATGCAAAATTATTTTTATAGCAAAATTAGCAACGTTTTTTAGCAACCTTTGTTAAAGAAGCTTTTTTTATTGTTTGCAAACTAATTTATTACATAAAACATAAATCTCTCCGTCATAAATTAAAATATGCAATAGCAAATTAAAACCTTTATAAAAAGAGGGAAGTGCTTTAGTTTAAGAGAACTCTTTTTACAAATTTAAAATTTGTTGTTTCTTATTAATTCAAAATTCTTTATTAAAAATACTGCATTAAATATGTAAAGATTAAAATAAATAAATTGTGATCAACAAACAAAAGATTATGTTTAGTATAAGTGTTTTAAGAAATAACTTATAAGTAAATAAAATCTTTTTCAAATACCGAATTTAAATTCTATAAATAATTTTTGTTAAATCTGTTTAAATAATTTTTAACGTGGTTTAAAATTAAATTTAATTAAAACACAATACTTTAAAATAATTTCAAAATCTCAATAGTTAACAATTAGGATCTTAATAATTACAACACATTAAAATTTGTAAATTGCTTTTTTTATATTTGTCAACACTTTGTTGTTGTAAAAAAGAGCGCCTATTTTTTTTATATAAGTGCTCAATTCAAGTGAAAAACCTAATGGCGTATATATCAGCATGTACTTTATCTGAAAGTAGAAAAGTGAATATTATCAATATAATATTACTTTTATTTATGCAAATTATTTTTAGTCTACAATTAGCCCTTTAATGAAAAAAAACTAGAATATGCAAGAACTCCACTGAATGCAAAAATTTTTTTAATAAAAAATAGTGGCCAAAAACTAAAAACATCAGCGGGTGACCAAAGTTAATGACCTGGTTACTTTCAGTCGCCCTTCTGGCGACGGACCAAGAGTTCAAGTGCTCCTGTACTTTAGTTTGATGAACTTTTACCTAAAAAGTACGAAATGAACTATTATTCGCATATCTTTTTAAAAAAGTTCACCCCACCATTGAAAAAACGATTTTGACATAAGTACTACTATGTATTCAAATGTATTTAGAATGTCATAGTCATGTAACAATAAATTTTCAATCCAACAATGACTCAGACCATTGACCTTGCTCTTGCTTGTTGCACAGAAGAAATCGAAGGCGCAATTTCTCTTTATTTTTGCATGACGAATAAAATTCCTCCATTACTTTGATTGCGTGCTTTGCGCATTGATTACTTCTGGGTATCTGTAGTATGGATGGCTCTTACTTCCAGTGAAGAGCTTAAAGCCTTTTGTATGGATTCAGTATTTCAGCCAAGTTATTAAAGTCGTTTTCATTGTTGGTCTGTAAACCAATGGTCTGCCCAGCCATACAATATAAATTGAGATACTCTCTGCAGAACTGTCCTTGTTGAAGGAATTAAAATGAAGGCCAGGATCGCTAGTATAGCTCTGGAGTTCCACCTTGCATTGCTGATATTAGGTATTTTCTGAAACCTGATCAATGGAAAATGTCGCTTTTCCTCAAAAAATCAGAACACTTGAGTGAGATAAAACAAAAATTTCATACCATCTCTCCAGCATGATGTTTCGAGAACTACTTCTGTTCCACTATCAAACTGTGTTTTCAGCTGTTCGTACTCCTTCAACAGTTGAGATACAAATGGATATTCGATGCTTGGCAATTGTGTTTTACTTCCAAGTTCTTCATCCATCACCAAATGGAGGATTCTATCTAATACATGGTGTTGACAACTGATAAACTGAGGTTTGTTGATGCGTTTCTCTGTGAACATTCATTGCAATATTACAACAACACCATTCTTTTTTCCAGTGTTAACGCTGGTGGTATCTGTAACAATCATCTATATTGAACTCCATAGGTGAAATTTATCGAGGACTTTAGAAATTCTTTGAGCAATAGTAAAAGCCCTGCCATCTACCAGGCCAAGGACATCCAATTTGATTTCTCTTCTTTAATTTTTAAGGACGACCACTTGATAACCCATTCTGTCGATGTGCTTGCCATCAAAGTGTAAAGACCAACTTTCCATATGCAACTTTTCAATCATTTCTTCCTTCAGTTTAATTGCCTCTTTGATTGTTGACTTGTAAATAGCTGATTGACATGGAGTTAGAATGTCAATGCCTTCACGAGCCAATTGCTTGCATATGTTAGCAGCTTTGTTTGTTGATATTCTTGTGGAGGTCACCAAGTTGACTGCAATTTTGCTTTTATGATGTTTTCTGCTTGGTGTAGAAGCTGTCTCATCTTCTTTTTCATTGTTTTCATATTCACTGTCGTCAGCCTCAGAGTCAGAATCATGAAAACCAAGATAGTAAGATGATGAGTTGGATGACTCATTAGAAGGTTTTTGTCTTTTAGAGGGATGGATTGTTTTTTTACTGGCCACTTGGCCTGTAGAGTATCCTACTGTTCCTTTACTTTCAACTTGGAGATGGTACAATCGCTTGTCCTCGGAAGATAACCACATTCCATCCACTTTAGTAATATCAAAAATTACATCAAGGAGTTCATAGCTTCCCCGCTTGACACATTCATCATAAGATTTCAGTATTTTATCAAGCTTTACTTATATAACTTGATCAGGTACATGATGAAAATTCAGTTTATTCTTCCACAATTTGGTGGCATCTTTGGAAATTTCCGCTATTCGCTCCTTTCTTCCTTTGATTTTTTTAGCAAATTATTGGTTCAAGGACCAATAATTTGCTTTTGGAGAGGCATTCTGCACTTTTCTTCCAGTGAATATTCTTCCAAAGGGACCATTCTTCTTTTATGAGAGTCTTCAAATTTTACCTGATTATTGGTCCAGACATCCTTGTTCTTCTGAATGCTACTATCGCTAGGCTTGTACAACGCCATGTGTTGCTTCTGTAATAACTATAAAATTAGATGAACAACTATATATAGTCTAAAATGTTCTAGAATATTCTAGAATGTTCTGAATTGTTCTAGAATGTTCCAAAATATTTTAAATTGTTCTAAAGTCTTAAAGTTCTAAAATATTCTGTTATTTTCAAAAATTTTCTAAAGTTCTAAACACTTCTAATCTAAAATTTTTTAAATAATTTGCAGGAAAGCCACACGTATTAGTAGTAGCAGTAACAAGATTAAATAAAAGACGAAACATAATTTGAATTGCAGGGTGACCTTTTTTTACAACCAAGAGAAATTAAACATGTTTTCAATGTTTTCTAATAAAAGTTCATCGATTTATGACACAGGAAATTATTTTTTTTTAAAAGTCAAAAAGTCATAACCCTAATATATATATATATATATATATATATATATATATATATATATAGTCGTTGTATGTACTGAAGCCCCCAGCAGCAGGCTATTTCAGTATGACGTCAGATTGCTTACTTTAGTACGCAATTCTATTTGTATATATATATATATATATATATATATATATATATATATATATATATATATATATATATATATATATATATACAAATAGAATTGCGTACTAAAGTAAGCAATCTGACGTCATACTGAAATAGCCTGCTGCTGGGGGCTTCAGTACATACAACGACTGACAAATAGCCTGACTCGCAGTGGAGTGCTGCTACAATGTCTGAGAGTTTGGGATGGGGCAGCAACCGTTTTATTCATCATTCTTTGTTTTTTTTTTCTTCTTTTTTGAAAAAAACAGTACGGCTTAAGGTAAGCAGAAAAAGTGAGCAAATGCTTATCAAAACACGCTTTAGTAAGTGTGTATATAAATATATATATATATATATATATATATATATATATATAAAAATTAATAATATCTCACTTGAAGTTCTTGCTCTTTATAACCAAGTAAAATGTAAACAGCAATCATAATTTCATGTATAGCTGGTATTGGTGTTTTGTAACTTCTTATCTCTGATATAGTTCGCTGATCTAAAGCTAAAATATCTTTTTTAATCTTTTCAAGCTTTTTGAGCTTTTCTACTAATTCATCTGCAGCTTTAATTTGTTCAACGTGATCTTCTTCAAAGCCAGAAGTCTGGATTGTTTTTACACAATTTTCAATGTCGTTTAAATTCCGTCTAATCATGGCATCTTCAAGATTCTCCCCACATTTTATGGAGTTTGATGTTTCTTCCGCTATCTGAATGTCTGGTTTTAAAGCTGAATGTAAGAAAATAAATCATGCATGTTAAAACTTCAAATAAAAAAAATATATATATGATTAAATCTATGCTACAAAATAATATATATATATATATATATATATATATATATATATATATATATATATATATATATATATATATATATATATATATATATATATATATAAATCAAAATTAAATCACAAAAATGAAATTAAAATAAGTAAATTATTAAAAAAATTTTGCTAGTATAAACAAGTTAGACTTTAGCTAGTATAAAGAAGATTTGACTTAGATTCCCATTCATAAACAAATATTTTTAAAGCTGCTTATTTCACTTATTTTTCTATAGAAAAGTACAAAATAGCTCTCCCTTCAAAAAAATGGGCAAGCAAGTAAAATTTTTGAGAAAAAAAATCGCCCACTTGCTGTTTATACCAGATCATTTTATTTATAAAAACAATGACATCCAAGCTGAACAGTATGTGGTATTTTAAAAATGAAGTGTGCTATGGAGTACAAAAGCCTATTTTATAGATGTTGCACAAATTAATGTTTTTGAAGTCTTTATTTTCAGGATAATATTTTCAGCAAAAAAAAATCCTTGTCAAGAAACAACACAAATTAATAAAAAAACTATATTTTTATTTTCATTAAAATCTTAAAGTTGCTTATATTTACTGAATAAAAACTTATATCTAGTTAATATCTTTTTTATTAATTTTTTAAAATAAATTTTATCAAAATTTATCAATTTTTATGCCAGTATTTTCAAAATAAGTTCAACATTTACTATAAAATTATGCATAATTTTGAAATTATGTTCTTTAAAACTTTTTTATTTTTTTGATTTCATCACATTTCAATCTATTACGAAAACAAAAGAAGATAAATATTTAAAACTTTATACAGCTAGTTAAAGAAAATATAGAAGAAAAAAATAAATTTTTTCTTAGTTATTTATAAAATATTTTTTTTTTAATATAAGAGTGAGAATGTTTCAGAAAATTAAAATTGAAATAATTTTTAACATTTGCTGAATTAGCATTTAAAAAAAAATTGATCTGCTTACACGGAGATTTCATTTAAAGAAAAAATGAATTTCATTTAAAGAAAAAATTTCTTTTTTATGAACTGTGTTTATACAGTTGCATATTTATTTATATTTCTTCTATTATCCAGTTTATTATTTAAAAAATAAAACAGCCAACTAAATGTAGCAATATAGTTTTTCTGAAAAAGGAGCTTAACTTTTATTTGTTCCTAATACAATACATTACTTTTTTTCTGCTCTGAATTGTATTAAGAACAGAAAGTAAGTAATGTTTTGTATTAAGAACAGAAAGGACATACATTTTATGAGAGATTTAATTTTTATAAAGTCTGAACCCAATCTTTATAACAAACAATTGATTGATACATTGACATGGCTGAATAACTGAAACAATACCATGTGATTTACTAATAATTAACATGTGATTTACTAATAGATATTGTTTTTCTACTATCCTAAAAGAAAGTTGAAATAGTAGTATATTCTAAAATTGCACCAAATTTTTTATGATAAAAAATTAGAGCTTGCAACTTTATCAAAAGTTTTTATTTATGCAATGTAGTTTACCACTACTGTAATATATAAAACAACTTTATGGTGTATGTAGAGATGCGTACAGCTGCATGCAACACCTGAGAAGCCAGAATTATATGATATAATCATTAAATTTTTAAAAACATTAAAAAAAAACTTATTTCTTATTAGTTAAACTTAGATTATAAACTAATTAAAAAAAGATTAGAACATTTTATATTATATATTTACATACTGTACAATAATAAAAATATCTTATACATATTATATATATACAATATATATATAATATACTGTATGTATTATATATAATATAGTGAGAAACCTAGAAAAACTCTGCTGTACCATTTATCAGCTAACATGACTGCCACAATATTTGTAAATATTAAAAAAAAAGTCTGAAAATATGTTAGGTTTAAAACGTTATAGAACAAAATATTAAACAATAAATTATACCTGGAATTTGTGCTTCCTTAGCTTCTATAACTGTAGCATCTATCTTATATCGTTTGCGCGTCTTTATAGCAGCATTTAATGACAATCTTAAACGCTTTTCCTTGTTTTCTAAAATTTCTTTAGCTGCCTTCTCTTTTTCTAACTTTGCATGGTTAAGATCATCTTCTGTTGAAGCATTTTTAATTCGTATTTCTGCCTCATGAGCTTCCTTTTTAGCAAGTTCTTCAGCTTCTGCAGCCAAGATAGCATTCCTTTCTATTTCTTTGGCTTGTTCTTCCACTTAAAAGATACATATAAAGCTGTTTATATATGTAAATTTTTTTAATTAAAAATAAATCATTTAAATTTTATATAGAAAAAAATATTGTTTTCAAACAATATATAAAATATTTTAATTTATAATTACTATTTCAGAAAAATTGACGAAAAAAAACAAACCTTTTTGTTAGAGGAACATAAATAACTTTTAAAATTTTAATTACTTATTTTTATTTAACTTATTTTTGTGCTTCATATTAATTACAATATTTTATTTATCTCTTAATATATAAAAATAAACATAGTATTTATAATTGTCTAGTAAATACTCTCTTCTTAAGACAGTATTTACCATAATACTGTTTTGCACAAACCATTATAAACGATTTTTACTCGATCAAAAAAAATATCATGTAATTTTTTTTTTGTTGCAACTGCATTCAACCAAAGATTATTCATATCTGGTAAGTCTATTTTTATTATAAAAATTGAATTAAAAAAAAAGTAGAAATAAATCAGAAAAAGTAGATGGTTGCCTGTTGCATCACATTTTTTATTTTTTTGAAAATGATTTTTTTATTTTTTTGAAAATAATTTTTTGAAAAAAATTTAAAAACCTTAAAATAAAAAATAAAGTGAACAATCAATGGCATTATAAAACATTTAAACAGTGACTTTTTTATGGTAATTTTTTTGAACAATAACTATAAAAGAATATATACAATAAGATATAAACCTAACATTTCTTAGTTTTTCTTTTTTTAATAAAATAAATAATACATAATATCTAAATCTAACATTTATTTCTGAGTTGAAGAACTCAGAAATAAATGTTTTTTAGTTGTTTAAATAAAAAAATTAAAGTTAAAAAAAATATATACTAAGATAAGGACATTACATTTCTTTCTGAGTTCTTCTTCTTTTCTGGCTTTTTCCTGATGTTAAAAATTTAAGAATTATTTTTCAATTTTTTAAAAATTCAATAAACTGAACAATAATCATGAAATTCTTTTCAAAAAATTAAAAAAACAACCTGTTCTAACTCCTGCTTTTTCCTTAGCTGTTCAATTCGAATGTTTTCTTCTTCAAGTTCTTTTTCTTTGTTTAGTTTCTCCTCAAGTTCCCTTTGTTTTTCTACCTCTGCCTGCCTTATTTTTTCAGCTTCCGCTTCCTCTAGTTTTTTCTTTTCAAGCTGTTCCATACGTCTTTTAAATTGCAATTCTGCATCTGCTTCTAAAATTATAAAACAACAAGATTATCATAATTAAGCAATAATATTGTATTGTATTGTTGTAAACAAAAATATTATATTGTTGTGCTGCCTCTATAAGAACTATGTAAAACTAAATCTAAAAAGGGCTGATGTTACATTGATTGCTTTCAAAATGCCAAAAAGCCAAACTAGGAATAGTTATAATGAAAAAGCAACAAACATTCAGGGTGTAAACTAGCCCTGTGGCGCCCCGTCAAATGCGGCTTTCCCAAATGCTCATAAAATTAAAATTCCCAATTTAAAGATGAAAAAATCCCATTCTCCATATAAAGTTTCCAAATTAAAGTTTAATAATATTTCTAAGAATAATTTAAATTTAATTATTATTCAAAACTAATAGAAAAATAACTTTAAAAAATTCTAATTCATTAATTGCGTAAAACATGAAATCAAATCGCCATTATTGGTAAAAAAATGCAATTGCATAACTGCGAAAATTGGTTTCTTGGAAAAAACATCATGAGAATTAGGATTTTTGGAGCGATTTTTGGGATTTTTGTAGTAACTTGCAATAAAGTTTGAAAATAGTTTTTTGTAATGCATTCCAAGAACAGCAAATATTATATAAAAAAGTTAGCAAGAAATAAAGTACTAATCTAAAAGATCCAAAATAATAACAAACTTGTTTGGTTTAACATTCGCAAATGCTATTTCTTTAAAAGTTTTTCCCTTTTTGGCTAAAAAGTTAAATAACTTATTAAGTCTTACCATAAACTCAACTTTAAGTAGTACATGTATTTCGTCAACAAAAACATCAAGAAGGTTATGTCAGATACCTTTTGATCAATTACCGTTATTACGGAAAGTCTTTTAGTTATTGTTTTTCTTTTTTTTGTTTGGTATTTTATGTATATATTTATTTTATTCATAACTGAATTCGCTAAAGTTTTTTACTTTTTTACTGGTATTCTTCGATGACACGCGTGCAATCGCTTGCTGATAATAATACTCTATAAATAAACGACATTTGTTGTTGTTTTTGCTGAGACTTTGTGATTATAACTTTATTTCGCTATGCGATTTATTTATAAAATAAATTATTATTAATTATAAAATTGAACTCGCAATAAATGTGAAATATGAAATTTATGAACTTGTGTTTACTATTTTTAAAACCTTATCTATTTTCAAAAAATTTCTTTTGATAACACAATTTATTACATGATAATGTAAGGGTTCTCCGTAAAGTACGTCAAGCAGAATTTAAACAATAATTAGAAGTAGAAGATCATTGGCTCATTGGAGATCGCTATTTTACTATATTACATTGAAAAAGAAATATATATTCAAAATAATACTCTTGAAATGTAAGCGGCGACAATATATAAAGATTAAAAATAAATCAAATTAATTATTCTCAATAATATTAAATATACACTGATTATTTTATAATAAAAAAAATATATCATTCCTAATATATGTTCAGAAATCGATTCTTAGTTTGCCGTGTCGTCATGAAACAACAGCTGATTTTGTGTTGATTTCATATTCATCTTTAATGATACAGATGGTATTTTATTTTATTTTTGGCGCTGATCAATCAATATATGCAGCGCTGAAGTAGAGTAGAAAAAAAAGAACACCAAAAAAGAACCCCATGCTTTCCCACAACACATTTTAATATCAGGGGAGGGGGGTGATTGAGAAATACTTTTACAATTTCCCAATTTCGTTAAAACGCTGTATCAAATTTATTCCTGGTTAACACTCTAATATTGTACATAGATCATCCTAGTCATATTTTAAAAATCCAAAAAATTGTTTGAATAAAATATCCGGAAAAAATCCGGAATTTGTTTTCCTTTACTTTTAATTTTATTTCGCTTTTAGCTAAGTTGCTTTTATTTATCTTTTTGACACTTTTCATAATTTTTTTATGAGCGATGAGTGAAAAAGCTTAAAAACCAAATATAATACAAAAATATATACCTATACTTGTATGTATTAAAAACATTTTGAATATCCGGAAAAACTATAAGTTGAAAAAAATATACGGAATTCTGGAAATATCCGGAAAAAGATTATCCTTGATTGTACACATTTAAAAAATGTTAACTATAAGCTTGATCCAGTAGCGTAGCGAGGATTTTTTGGTGTTTGAGATAGCTAACTTCCAGACATGGAGCAAACTTCAAACATTTGTCACTGTGCACCAGAGAGACCGCCAGGTTTTTTGTCGTGGCACTCAAACCAAGTCCTTATTTTATGAAAGTATTATATATATTGTTTAAGAAAATATATTTTTTGAAATCGAAACGCGTTGCTATCATACCTTTTTTGATATAAATATATTATAAAATGGTTATAAAATTTCTTAATTTTTCGCCGGAACTTGACTTGAAAAAAATGTTTAAAAAAATGTTTTTATCCTTGGAAACCACTGATAGATATTTTTTCAATGGAGGTAACAAAATTTATTTTGGAAAATATATTGTTTAATATAATAGCTTAAAAATAAAATTAAATATGTCAAAAATAAATTTTTAACAAATTTTTATATATAATTAACTAAATATAAGCTATTTATTATATTAATTATACTGTAACCTCATATTAGATGGGCTTATAAATTTAATTACCCCCTGTACTAACTAATCAAAAAAAATTTAGAGATTAAAAAGATGGTAGTATAAAAATTTTCAAATTGCGGAAGGTCATGCTACTTAGGAGTTGTATTTCTTTTACTTAAAAATGAATTCTACTTGTTGCTGTTGCTGGGAAAAGTATGGCGAAAGATCAAAATCATTTAAAAAAATGAATAAAAACTTAGAAGAACAAATTCAAATGTTTATCTTTCCTGGATATTCGATGAACAACGATTGCTATCCATCAGTTGTTTGTCCTGGTTGCCGAAGAAATCTTTACAGACTCAAAAAGGGAGACTCACCTCGTGGTGAATGGGGAGCTAAGGTTACCAAGGTATTTTTAATGATTTTTTCCATTTATTTTCCTTTTTTTTCTTTAGTTTATTTATAAATGTATATTTATTTAGGTAGAGTGGAAAACCCTTTTGAGAAATAGCCCCAGAACCAGTCTAACTCTTCCAGATGAGATAACTAATTTTTCGACAACTAAGTCAAGTATATGTTCTTTTTGCTATTCATTGCCTGCACCTGGTTATTCTCATAACTGTACACCCACCAGTGCTGTGGCAAATATCATTACACTGTCATTTCTTCTAGGTTCTCTTCAAGCTGAACAGGTAAAAAAAACTATATTTTGTTTATAAGTTTTTAGTTTTTTATGCAAATTTCATTTTGTGAAAACTTTACGTAGGTTGCTTCTGGAATTATAAAAAGTAAAATGGCTACAGAAAGTTTGGTTGACGGATCAACATTTTGTTTATCTACAGGAGGAAATCCGCTAAAAGTCACAGTTGGTACACCAGAAAACAAATCAAAAAGAACTTCTATTAAGCAGCTTTCCATCGAAATAATAAAGCAATTACAAATTGTGTTAGAACTTTCAAATAGAAAAACAAAAAAGATGCTTTCTACTTTACCCAAAGGTTTAGGAAATAAGCTTTCCATTGAGCCTAATATTTTTGGTCGTCTTTCTGAATTAGAAGAATATATTTCTAATTACTACAGTGTGCAGAAGTGCAAGTTTATTGATAGTAAAGGCCATTTAATTTTACGAGATCTTGTATATGTTCAAAATACATCAAATTTTGTACTTGACTTATTAAAATTGCGTGGTTTAGACCCTACTTCAGCCTTTATAAGAATTTCATTGGATGGTGGAGGTTCATTTTTTAAAGTAATCATCAATGTCTTTGATTGTCAAAAAGATAATGAGTCAGACGAGTACTTAAATAGTGGCGTTCAACGGTCTCAATTTTTAGCTATTGTTGAAGATATTCCTGAATCTAACTATAATTTGAGACTTGTTATAGAAAAATTAAATTTGCAAGATGTCAGTTTTTATGTTGCTTTTGACTTGAAATGTGGAAACGCACTGTTTGGTTTATCAGGACATTCTAGAAAAAAAGCTTGTTTATGGTGTGAAGGAATATCTACATTAAATTTAGGGACAAAACGAACTCTTGGCAGTATTGATTATTGGTACAATAAATATTTAGAAAATAACTCAGTAAAATTATCCATGCAAGAGTTTATGAACTGCATCAATCCTCGAATTTTATATATTAATTTAGATCCAAATACTTTAATTGAGCAACTCATTCCTCCACCTGAACTTCATTTGTTAATTGGTTTTGTTTCACTGCTTGGAAATTTTTTGTTAGATGTCTGGCCAGGATTTGATGATTGGCTAAAGTCAAAAAATGTTATTCAGCGAGGGTACCAAGGCAGAGGCTGGGACGGAAACAATTCGAATAAAATATTAGAAAATCTTGATTCTCTTGAAACACAAATTTTAGAAACATTTACTTGTTTGATTCCAATTGTACAGTGTTTGAGAGATTTTAGAAATGTAAAAAATTGTTGCTTTTCCAGCAATTTACAAACTGGCTTCAAAGAAGCAATAACAAATTTAAAGAATTCATTTCTTTCTGCACAAGAAGTTGCAGTAAATTTAAATAAACCAATAAATACAACATAAAGTCCACATTCTACTGTGTCATGTACAGCCATATGTGGAACACCATAACAAAGGATTGGGTAACTTTGCTAAACAATGTGGAGAAAGTATTCATGCAAAGTTTAAGCCAACATGGACAAGGTTTAAGAGACAAATAGAGCATTCCGAACATGGTGACAGGCTATTATCAGCAGTAGTTGATTTTGGAGCAAAAAGAATTTGATTTTGTTTATAAATTTATTTATATAGTTATATGTATATATGTATATTTATATTGTGTGTGTGTGTGTGTATATATATATATATATATATATATATATATATATATATATATATATATATATATATATATATATATATATATATATATATATATATATATATATATATATATATATAGTATATATATATATATATA